GTTATTTAAAAAAAAGTTTCTATTATCTCAATAATATTTAATAACTGTATCCAACAGTACTCTGTGCTATTACGTCAAAGAAGTACGCTTGTATATGTGGGAGGGAGATAGCGATACCAGCACGTGGTATTGCGTCGTAATTGTTGTTTTGCTCCGCGTGTCTCTGTTGCTCCGGTAATACGGCTGAGGGCTGTTTCGTAAGACGCGATTGTCTTAAAATTTTTGGAAGTAATTTCTGATAATTTTTCAGAAACCGCTTATTATCAACACGTCGACGAAACTAATAACGTGTCTATTTTATGTTGGTTCCACACATTAAAAAAAATCACAGACAAACAAAAAATTCGTTTGAAAAGTGGAGTTCACACTCGCAATAATGTAAGGTTTGTTGTTTCCTTCCATTCCTTTTTGTACTCTAAAACATCGCATAACATTGCGCTTGCGCACATTCATAATGCGCTAAACAATTTACTATTAGGGGAGCGTGGGGCTAGTTGTAACAATTTTAACAAATAATTGAATATCATGAAGTGTATTGGCTAAATTACTACTAAATAAACTTTGATGGATACTCTAACTATTTATCTATGAAGTCTAATGGAAATATTATCAAATCTACAGGCAACTATCTCACAATTATTATTTTTTTTGAAAAAGGGAAGTGTTACAACTTACCCCGTGGTTGGGGCTAGTTGTAACAACAAAAATGACACCTTCAATTGTTTAATTTTTTCACATCTTGGATCATTTTGCTTTGTATATAACAAAAACTAACTAGGTATTTCTATAATGTGTTTTTTATGAAATAGTTAACTGGACAAAAAATATAATCAACAAATTAAAGATTTAAGATTTTAACTATATTTCTTATTCTGTACTGAAGTATAATATATATAAGGTACTTATATCATGTCATGAAGTATATAAGGTACTTATATCATGTCAACATGGCACTTATTATACATCCATGCAGTCTGTGCTCTGTTCACATAGTTTTTAAAAGGGCCGTAGACTCCCACATCTCCTACAGGTTGCAAATTGTGGGAGCAATGGGAGGGAAACTATAATATGATAACATTGTTTTCTTTGGCTTTTTCGACAGCTGCAATATTCACATGTGAGCCATGGTAATCAAGCAGTAACAGAACTGGCTCTTTCTTGGTAGGTTTCGCGTCTTTGATAAAATGATCTACAAAAATCAAAAATTCTTTATCAGTCATCCACCCTGAAGAAATACCAGCTCCAATGCAATCTTGAGGTCCACCGCGAATGAACATTTCTGAGTATTTAAGCCGGGGAAAAATGAACATCGGCCGTCAGTAACTTACAGCAATCTGGGGGAAAATTGTAACATGTTACAACAAACCCCGAGGTTTTGTTACAACTAGCCCCTTGATATAGTTCTTAATATTTATCACGATAACTATTAAATCAACTTAGTAATCTTGAAAACTGTTATAGAACATCATAAATAGTTATATTTTAGCATAAAATAAAATACATAAAACTTCAAAGCTACGAAAATAGTGAAACTAACCAAAATTTACGTTAGTAAAATTATAGGTTACCTGTCAACAATAAAGCGTTTGCACACACCCACTCACTGAGCCGCCTGGCGGGCCCTTGGCTGTGGTAAAGTGGCGTGGCACGTTATAAGTTTAAGACTGGGTAAAAAAAAACGTGAATAAAATTCAAATTCCTATTGAAAAAGGTCTGTTACTATTTACCCCTGTTACAACAAGCCCCACGCTCCCCTACATATCTTAAAATTATCAATACTTTGTGATTTTGTTCTATAACGGCTTTATCTTATGTTTGCTTAGTCACAAAATAGGCTATTTGACGAGATTTCAAAAGCCATTTCAGATTATAGATAGAAACTATACAAATTGTTATTGTTAATTCCGTTACAAAATTCATAATTTGGCGCAAAAATCGCGTCACTAGGCAAGATGGCGTCGGATTAATTCCTGTGACGTTACCACGCTTGTAAAGTCAAACGTCAAAATTTAACGGGTGACCGATGTACAAAAATCAATATTTTGTTGTTTTTTTTATAAATTAAAGATTAATTTATATTTTTCTATAACGCTTTTTAAAATCATGTCATACAGATCACAACAACACTTTTCTCATACTGTCCAAAGCTTATTGGTATGCATTATTCGCTGTTATTTATAGTATTAAATTCTTGTTTGTAATAACAACGTAAATCATGCCGCAATATGTCTGAAAGAGGCGAAGACGACTAATCATTAATTAGTAATCGGTAATCTCATAACGGTCACAATAAAAAAAGAGTGGCGCTACAACCTTTTAGGTCTGGGCCTCAGACTTCTACGTAGGTGTAAATGTTTCGTCATCATTTGTTTTTTCTAATAGGCAAGTAAATGTGTGAAGTGCTTATGACGGTTAATTAAAGGAAAGTTGAATATTTCGACACGTCTTACGTAACAAAAGGCCGGGAACGCACTCGCGAGACCTCTGAGATTGAAAGTGTCCAAGCGGCGGTAATCACTTAACATCAGGTTTTTTCTAATATGCAGGTCATGGGGGCCGTTCAAGTGTTACGTAAGCAGATTTACTGCAATTTATCCCCCTCCCCTCCTCTTGTCAGCAAAAGTAAGCAAAGCTCTTAAAAATAGGTAATAGTACATAAACGTACTAATCCTTTGTAGGAATCCTCAATTCGCATTTCATTTTCAAGCATAGACAATGTGGGTAATATGTGTAAAAAAGTAAATAAGACCCCCCATAGTGCTTTCGTAGTACTTGAATAGCCCCATGCCGATTCTTCATCATACGAGCGTGTTAAATGCGTACATAGTCTATAGGTGCACAGCCAAGAATGATAGCCGTACCCTTGAACCCACTAAGTTAATACAGCTCTATCGCTACTAATAAGTACATTACTAATAAGGGTACCTACTATAAACCTCCTGACGGATTTCATACAAAGCCCCGTTACATTCTCTAGGCCGGATTAGGTTAATTAGCAATGAATTGTGTATTCGGAATAAATGGGAAAGCTTTTATTAGTGTTGTCCAGTTTACGACTGATTTCGTAAATTTACGTTAAATAAAAATCAATCAACATTATAAAAATTATAAAATTTAGTTACATTGATCGAGAGTGGGTTTTAAAAATTGTTATTTAATTTTGATATACCATAAAAATTTTGTTTATTAATGCTTCTATTAAAAGTAGAAAACATCGCCCAACATCGTTACACGATTGTCTAGTTGGTCGTTTTGGACCCAGGCGTCCGGCTATCACAAAACAGACCCTTGTCTTGAGAAAGACTATTCAGGCAGAGATATGCTCGCGATACAGCCAGAGCTGACCTATCAAAGACCTTCAAGTCAACAGCGTTTAAAATAATTCAATATATTGATACCTCAAAGGCTAGACCTTTAGAACCAATAAATAACGGAGAAATGAACAACAGTTAAGTTATAGACGATAGCTAAACTTGTTCTTAAAAGTATCTTAAAACGTATTCTTACCCTATGAATTCGAACCAGTAGTTTCTCAGATTAGCGAATGCATCTTTTTGTGTAGGTACGGTTAAAAGATTAAAAAACGAAAAATGTAACAATAATAGCCGTAAATACAAATCAAGCAGTTTTATATATTTAGCTAATTAATATTAGACATAGTTTTGGATATGCGATAAAGACTTATTAATTAATTGAAGATTATAATACGATTAGGGTAAGTTTCTATTCGGTTATTAACAAAAATAATTCAATTAGATTTTTTTGAATTATTATCGTTTAATCGTTGTTTTTTGATAACATCCCAGTCTGCGGAAAAGGAACCGGTGTGCCGGTTATGCCGACTAATGTGACAGTGAAATGTCTAACTTGTCGTGTTTATTGACATGATTGCGAGTATTATATAAATAAATAAAAAGCCTGTTTAGTCCGTGTACATGTACGCGCGTAAGAGGTTATACTTCTTTGGCATTATTAAAAATAGTTTTTGATTGCATGCAAATAATTAATTACAATTAAATTATCAAAGACTGGAAAAGGAGTCATTAAAGTCAATAAACTTCAGTTTACATTTAAAAAATTTAATAAATAGATATTTATTATTTTTATTCTCTTACATCAAGCGTAACATAAATTCTATTATTATTCGAATGTTGTTTTTAACTTATGTCCAATGACGTAGCATCTTCCGTGGGCAACTTCATTCTGTTAATTTTGTGTCACGGTGCGCGCGCATCGTAAAATTTCACTCTCATCAATTTTTCATAACGCGCCTAAAGAAGTATAACTTCAAAAAAAAATACAGCTTAGATTTTTTTACATTTCATACATTATTTTTATCTTGTCATCCTATTCTAGCTTCCTTCAGTACCGTCGATCGGAACCCCTTCACGGATAAACGCCTCCTCAAGCTTTTTCCAACGGACTCTGTCTATGTCTTTCTTTCTCCATTCGCTTCCTGCTACAACTTCTATTTCTTCTATCCAACATTTTTTGGGCGCCCTCTTCTCCATCTTCAAATTGGTCCATTGACATGATTATTATCGTACTATAAACACTTAATAGTGTTGTTGTTAACAGGTATTTGACGTCAAAAACTTTCGTATACACTATTAACGATGTTCGCTAAAATGCCCAATTCCTGATTTTTTGACTTAGATTTAGCAAAACTAAATAATGATTCTTCGTTAATAACACAGTTTTTTTTGTGCCAAGTTCTTCTACAATCAGACAATATGCGTAATAAGTGTTATTGCTTAAACTTTTTGTCATAACATAGTAACGAAGATTACATATTTATATTTTAATGATTACATAATTGTACGTATATTTTTGCGTTACTGGGAATATTCATGTTTCAATTTATATTGTATATATTATTAATTAGAACTATACACAAAAACACCTTATTAAAGTAATTTTTCCAATGATAATTAGTCCGTAATTAATGATTTTATGACTTTTAGTGCACGGCTCAAAATCCTGAATGATGAATATTTACGATGTTATTACGTAATCATCGAACATTGCGTTTCGTTGCAGATACAGCGCAGACAGCCATGACGGTGGGCGTGGCCAATGTGTTGTGCGACGATCGCTCCGCCCCTTTGGCGTGGCCTACCCCTGCGCCCGCACCTACCGCACCCCTCTGGCAGTACCCAGGTAAACACCTACTACTGATTCATGCTCGCCTGGTAACTCCGCGCCAACTGCGGTGCGAGAGCGCGGTTTTGGCGATGTCAGTCGCTTGCGATTTTAATACACCTTCTACAGTGTTATGTCAGTTTGGTATTGGCATTGCAACTGAGATCGTTTCGACGACGCTCGTCCCGATTTTGAAAACGTAATTAATATAATATAAAACGTTATAAAAAAAAATAGTTTTGTTGTTTGTTTTATGAATTTAGGTATAAAGTATGCATGCCAATTGTTAACTTATTTTAACATTAAAAAATAAAATAAATCTTTCAATTAATATTTTTCATACCTACATGAATATGCGAGACAAACAGTACCACCTAACAGCGACCCAATTTATTTTTTTGCCCAACACTCGATCCCGTTTATTACGGCCACCGGTTTCTTCATCAAGGGTTTTGTTTCTCTCTTGTTTCGTGACTAGCGCGCGCCCGCGGCTCCATTCACTTGGAAGGCGACTGCTTATTGGTTTTTTATTTTCTACTAACAGCAATTAGTATTTTAATGGTCGTATTGAATTTCTTTCTAGCTTTGTTATGATTTTATGCTCAATGTTCTGGACACCATTAGTTAGAATGGGAACTGACAATCACAAATGTGTTGTATTGTGATAGTAATAGCTGCCTGCAAACGCATCCTAACTGTTAAAAAGGAAAATTAATTTGTCTACAAGTGTCAACTGTCATAAAATAAATTCTCTTTCCGAGTATATTATAAACTTTCACTTTGCTAAAAACATGTCAAAATAAGAACGGAGTTTTTTCTGTGTTTGTGATCTATCTATACATTAATTTTCTCATCATAAAACTCAGTTTAGGAATGTTTATTTATACATAATGACACGAAAACGATATTCATTATCCATAAGTTGGACGAAACTGATTAATTCTGCGGTAATTAAGTCAGTTTTAAAATCTGACTTTAATTGTAACTAAAAAAGGTTACAACACAACGTATTCGTCGTAGTTGTAAACTTCAAAACCCATCGCTAGCCGTAGCAACCGCCAAATCGTTTCCCACACGGAACTCGTGTCACTCCCAACACATAAATTATCCATCATCCGAAAAAACAAAAAGCGTTGTAAAAACTCATTTATCGATAACCACTCTCGACTGCAGGCAGCCCTAAACACTTCGCCGCCTACTTGGCTCCGCCTCATTCCTGCGTCTCGACCAATGAAAGCCAAGACGGAATAGAAGGCAGGACGAGATCGGTGCCCGCCTTCACCAATTTTAGTGTTGTATTAGTTTTTTTCATAATGGCGATTATCGTTAGTGCTTACGGATTGACACCTCACGCGATCTTAAGTAACACAGTTGCTTTAGCGTGACAGAAGAAAAAATATTTTCTCTTTGAAGGCATTCGGTTTTCCGCTCGGAAAGTTTTTGATGGACGTCGGATTAATTGCCCACTATAAACCAGCCAGTCGTAGTTACCAGGACATGGCGGTAACAGTATGATTATATGAAATATACAATCTTTATTAAAGTATTCACTTTTTTATTCATAAATTTCTAACAAATATTTGATATTTTTTTATAAACAGAATGTTAATGAAATAAATGTTATGAATCGAAACTGATAACATACAATCAACCTTAAAGATTTTCAATCTTCAATCAGCCTTCCCCAATTTCCAATTTAAAAAAAAACACGTTTGTAGATACTATTGATTTATCTGTTAAATGTAGTACCTAAAATAGTGCAACTTAGCTACGAACGAAAAAAATATTTTTTTACATTCCACTTGATCTTTTGTAAAGCCAATTATTTTTTTACTAAATGGTTAAAGTAAATGCCTGTTCCAATGACAGTAAGAGCCTATCGTTGTAATCTGTGTCAGAACACATACGATTAACATTTTATGATATCTATGGTCAAAAATGTTATGAACCTAGTAGATAAATTAAATTTTCTATCTGTAAATTGTCATAGTGACAAATAACAGATCGCACTTTGTTCGACATAGTTTTGCCTACTAAGTAAATACATTGTAATAAGACCTAACCATTGCGCAACTGATTCTTACTAATCTCTAGTAACCAATGGCTTTGGTTCGCAAGTACGTTAGGGCTATCAACCATAAATAAATATAAGTTTAGTAAAAATATAATATATAATTTATCCAGACAAAACTGTACATGAGCAAGTCAAAAATTTACTGTTAGTTGTCAAGGGCGCCGAACGAACGAGAAGAACTCTTCATCAGTCTATTCTCTTCTGTTTATATGGATACGATGTGCGTCAAAGATTTGCTTTAGTTGCATTAAAAACGACATTTCCTATGCGATTCCCACACAAATGAAGTCACGACCAGTTTAATCGGCTCTAGCGGCTAATAAATTATTTATTAGAACTGAACAATGCTTTGAATTGATTACAGCTCCGGAAACTTTTTGATCTAATCGGTCGTTTGTCTTTCTAAAATATTCTGTCTTTGTTAACGTTACGACGTAAAAGTAGCTTAAGCTCTGATTTTTTATTCCGTAGTATTCTGACATTTCATAAGTGTTGCTACTAAAAAGTTCTCCACTGAAAAAGGGACAAATTAGACCCATTTGAGGGCAATAAAAAATGCTACGTATTTTTTATGTTTTATCTACAAAAAGACAAATCTTAATATTTACTAACTCAAGTGACCTAATACAAAAATAACAAATATTTCAATATCACGAACAATATATCGAATTAACTTTCATTACTTTATTTTATTTTTTAGCTGGCATCATTGCCTACTAATTCCAGGTTTAGTCAACCTTTTAAAAAAAAAGTTATATTTAGGTACCTACTTGTGATTTTACTGTTTGTGATGAAAAGGGACGTAATTATCAGTCACCGTAAAAAAACTTTTAATGTGTTGCTACACACGCACTTAATAAAATGTAGGTGTAAGTAGGTATGTATAGACTCAGACAATCAGACTCGTATTGAAATTGACAATCTCTGACACGTAAAAAATGATATCTGTCAGAATTCTACGCATTTCAATATTAAATAACCACCCCATTTTTTTTTATTTGCTAGATTTTTTTTAGTTTTTTTTTTTATGATAAAGCATACAGAACTGCATACAACCCCTAAATTCATTCAACCCATCACTTCAGCCCTCTACGATCAACCCCTATTTTTTATTATTGTAGGTAGTTATTTTTATTGAACTAAAAAAAATCCTAGAAATAATATACATTGCAAAATAAACGTTTGCCAGGTCAGCAACAACATATAATTATCTCTATTTCTTAATTGTGAAAGGACCGGGTATTCGGTTTTTGTTAGATTTTCTTAAGAGTGTAGCAAAACATTATACGAAAATTGATTTCGAACCATTAAAAGTAATTGTGTACATGCTTCCGTATCCTCATAATCCCTTTATAATGTACATGAGGAATTGAATGTATAAAGGAAATAGACCTGTTTGAAACCTGTACAAACGTTGGAGTAGGTTCCATTTCCCACATTAACATTCCTACACGCTCCTCTCCGGAAACGCGCCACAGAATACTAATTATTCCCGCGATGATCCCACCTGTATAGGCAATTTAAAATTTAATTAGGTTCGGCTTTTAGTGGTTAAACCTCAATTTCTGTAAATATCGTGGTGAGATAAAACAAAATATTGATGAGGGCATTGTCGCCAGTCCATGGGCAAGAGAAGTCGTTGTGCAATAACAATAAATGCTCCATCTTTTGTTACTTTCCAGGCCTTTGTCAAAGATTGTTTTATAATTTGCTCGAAACTGCGCTTTGAGACTTAGATTTCAGCTGTCTTAAATTCTTAATTCTAATTTAATCTTAATTAAAATTACAATAAATACATTTTAAAAGCATTCGCAGTATTAAATTACAATTTATATTTGTATTTCTTGGTCTTGTTTTCTGAGAATTAAATGTGTTAATATAATAAAATTATTTATTAATGGGGTATCAAGATCCTAATAGGATTTTTTTTATGTTTCACCGATTTTTCACCTTAACGGCGACCATAAAGCCAGATTTAATTATGTAAAAAGGGTGACGATTTTTTCTTTTAATTTACTACTCGGCATACCCTTTGGGCGATTTTTTTCCCCGGGCCGTGGAAAATATAAACTAATATATTGTAGACAAAGTTCTATATGTTTTATTTGAAGTTCTTTGAGTTTCCTTAATTTAGCTAAATTTTACAATCTACTTCATTCAGGTTGACTGTAGTCGTTTTTATACATTGATTGTTACGTTAGTGAATGTCATGTCGGTGAGTTGTCTATGGTGAAATAGACAACGAAACTTTGTGTTATCTGTTGCTTGTTTTGTCAAATTTTGATAATGCTCTAAAGCTATATAAAGCTCGCTAGACTATAATCATAATGCTTATTAAAGTAATGTTACTTTTCATGTAATCTCCTCAAGACAGGAGTTTTCATATTGAAGACAGAGCATTTTTGATGTAACATTATAAGTTTTAATTATTTCATAACACCTTTAATACAGCTGTTTAGTATTCCGTCGTGTACCGCGTGAATTCATTAACATTTCAACAATACTGTGTGGTGCCGACTCGTAATTATACGCAATTTATAGTAATGTCTAGAAGCACGCTTATTTCCTGATAAATTTACACGATAATGCCTATTTATTTACTATATTTGTTGATCCGATTTTTTCTATGAAATGTCATTTTTGAAGTGAAACTTCTTTAGGAAAAAACGTCACGATGAAGTGCGTCGTTTTTGTCAAAGAAAAGGGATAGAGCGATTGAGACCGATTGAGAGAGAGTGAGAAGGGCGAGTTACCTTAGAGAAATTCTATTTTGAAAATTAAAATTTCTTAAAGAGAATTTATGAAATATTAGTATTTTATATTTTATGCAAAATAATTTATTGACATCTCAAATGACGTATTGTCAAGGAAATAAATTTAAAAAATTAAATTATTTGTATTAATTTCGACACTTTTAATACATATTTTAATGACAATTAAATTCATTAAATTCCTAACATATCTTCCTTTTATCACTTTTGACAAAGAAGTTTCACTTCTGATACACTTTTTTTATAAATGTGTCTATTGTGAATTACAAAAAAAAAATAGTCCGAAACATTCTCAAATTTTCTAACTAATTATGCCAATTTTCGTCAATCACTATAAAGCAATCTATTGTATAGAAGACAAAATAATTGTAACCGCACGGCCACTGTTGCCGGCATTACGGCAAATTTTTTCACTGAGATATGTATCACAAATTATTTAATCAAACTATCAAGTCTTGATTACTTGTATAAAATAATTATTCATGTTTTTTACTAATAAATAATCCCAATAAACCTGACATTGATTCATGTAAAATGCTAAGTGAATTGATTTTGAATACCTACTGAATTTTCTTTAATCTCGTTTCAGCTCAAGTATCAATGGACAGTATGATGATGGGAGGCGTCGGCGGCGTCGGGATGGGATCAGTTGGCGGTGGCGTTTCGTCTATGGGGGGCTTCCAGCTTGTGAGAGATCCTACATCTGGAGCGCTTCTCTTACTTCCAGCGCCCCCGGATCTTCCACACACTGTTGTGTGGGGTGGCATGCCTTACCCTTCCGCTCCCTTACTCTTACCCCCTGCACCACATCCGTCTCATCACCTACAGCTTCTACCGGGCGACCTCCTTGCGTCAACAGCTACCCTCCAACATACGCACACACACTCTACCCGCCTGGTAACTCTGGCTCCTGCTCCTCCACCACAACCGCATCCAGCTCACGTAGAAAAGCGGAAACCGATCATGCAACCGCTCATCACACCGCACACGTTAATCAAAATAGAACCTGAACCACCACAAGAGAAACCACAACCTACCTTCGTCCAAGAGCCGCAACCACAACCGATGCTTACCACGCATCTTTATTATCAACCCGAGTTTCAAGAGCAACCTTGTAGGAGTCAGGCCACATCTCCCGCTGCACCTCCAACTCCGCCTCCAGAAGCTCCCGAAGTTCCGGGACATAAAGATGCTTCAAATCAAACTGATCACATTGATGATGAAGACGAACAAACTAACCAGATCGATGAGGATGAAAGGGATGTTGCCTGTATTGGTGTCGCTCATATACCAGAAGAATCTAATGTAATCCAGCAGCTTCAGATTTTACCCCCACATATTGATAGTGCTGAGGAATCCTCGTCGGAAGCTTTGGCGTCGTCTGTGGTGACAGGTGCAGTGGAAAAAGCTATAGATGCAATAGAAAACGACGATACTCTGGATAACTCTAGCAGCGGTTCCCATGAATTGGTTATTGATACCGGACAATCGTCAAGCCCTCAACCCTTACTCACAAGGCCTCCAGATGACGTAAGTGGGTTAGAACTTCTATCCAATAGTATTGAACAGTATGAGCGAACTACCCCAGGGCACAATATGTCAAGTTTAGAGCCAACACCACTTACAGTTGACACCAGAACATCTTCTAAATTAAATATCTTAATAAAAACTTCGCCGAAATCTCCACCGCGCACTGCGGATGTAGAACAAAGAAGGTTTGAGTTTCCATCAACAGAAACATGTGGTTCCCAACCAAAACCATCACTAGACAGATTAGGATTGTTGTGTGAGGTTATTTTAGCCGAACAACGTTTGATGGAAGAGGGTGCAGACACTGTTACAAACAGACCATCCACATCAAGGCCATTTATAAAAACAGAGCCGTTATTAAGTCCCACCGATATAGATATACCTTCAGAAATTAAGAAGGAAAAACATAGACATAGAGAAGATTCAACCAATGAAGGAAGGCGGAAACATAGCCGTGACAGAGAAGAAAGATTGCGGCATAAGTTAGAAAAGATGAGGCGGCACAAGCGTGAAAGAAAAAGCAATGATGGCGACGATAGTGGAGGGGAACTGGAAGCAAGTTTGAGACGTGTTACAGCCTGTCCTTGTGGTATCGCGGATTGTTCACATACCTCGAACGTTCCATCAGCTCATGATCTTGTTAATGCTATTGAAAAAGATATGCGAAAGCGATTACAAGATTTACAAAGACAGTGTGACGAGAAGAGGGCACAGCTGAATGCCTTAACTCCTCCTCTACCAGTTTTATCTACCACCCCAACACCATCATTGCCCGCATTATCTCCAGACTCCGATAGAGGGTCATCTAAAAAGCGAAAAGTTGGAAGACCCCGAAAAGTTTCAAGTCCCGATTCCACTGAAACTATCGTTGCAAAGAAACCTAAATCGAAGAGCAGTCTAGTAGGGTATTTACTCGCTAAAGGTAAATTGAAAGGTGGAATATTGTGCTCACGCAGCGAGCCTTCAACGGAGGATCGAACGAGTAAAGTTAGACCCAAGCTAAAAGCTGAACCGATTTTAAAAGTATATTCTGAAGAAGATGAAAACGACTGGAGTCTAAACAAATCTGCTAGCTCATCAATGGAGAGTTTGAATGAGGTCCGCCAAAAGAATCGTGAGAAGGTAGATAGTTTGGCACGAAAACATTCAAGAGATGACTTCTCTGAAATCGAATTAGCCATACGCCGAGCCAGTGCTTCAAGTGACAGTGAAAAAGAGAGGCGAAAGGCCAAAAAGAGACGTAAGAGTCATAAATCAAAAGACAGATCGGAACAGCCTGTTAAGAATAAAGAACCTGAAACGGATACTCCTAAACCTGTGGTTTCTCGTTGTACATTAACAGAAGATAAATTAGATTTATCGCCAAGAGTACTCACAGCTAGAGGTGGTCTATTTTATGCAGGAAAACTAAGTGCAGTCCAGGCGCCTGACGTATACGCTATAACATTAGACGGAGAAAGAGGAAATAAGCCGCATATTCTTTCAAGAGAGGAAACATTGAAAGATGCCGTAAGTACAAGTTTGAGATTGTTACCTATTTAATTTATGAAGTTCTGAAGCTAATCACTGTTAATATTGCATTTAAAAAACTCGAACTTCATATAAAAATAACGGAAGTCTTTCTCTTTATTTCAGAGACTAAAGATGGATCTTAAATTTCAGATTTTGGAAGTAAGTCCAACATCAGTGTCGGAACTGCCATCAGGTACCCGAGTGTGCGCGTATTGGTCTCAGCAATACCGCTGCCTGTATCCCGGGACTGTCGCTGTTTCGTCCCCTGACCCTCATGACGACAAGTTCGTGGCTGTGGAGTTCGATGATGGCGACTCCGGTAGGATTGCAATTGAAGATATACGCTTCTTGGAACCGAACTATCCGATTGTTGGTAAGTTATAACTGCCTAAGACTTTAGTAGCAGAAGATTCAAACTTAAAATAACTTTATTCATATAGGTAATCAAGTACACTTTTGAACATAAATAAGAAAGATGTTTAATTGATTCTAAATTTACATTTACTACCAGTTCACAAGTCAAGGGCGTAGAGCGGGCAAGATGTATTGATATTGATAAAAGATGTATTCGTTTTTACAAGAAACTCCCAAGCGAAATTTATTAATTATTACAGAATTAATTCAAAACTCTCGTTAAACGTAAATAAATCAATAATGCTTTTTATTCATTTGACGATTTGGAACAATTTGTATGAAATCTTGGCGATTAAAAAGAGTGGTGGAGACTTTATAGCCAGTTCTTCTCTTCCGTTCTATGCCCTTGATTTGAGAACTGGCAGTAAATGTAAAATTAGAAATATTTAATTTATATTTCTTTTTTGACGTTCATAAGTGTACATTGTGTAACCTACATGAATAAATGATTTTTGACTTTGACTTTGAATCAGCTGACGCTTAATAAACTTTAGAATTCCTTTGTTCCTATTCACTTAAATAATAAATATTAATCCTATTATTATCAGAATATGAAAACACGCTGTTCACCCTTGGTAAGCGGCGAAGAAATACAAGTGTAACAGAAGATAAAAAAAATATAGCATCGACAAGTAATGATATAAAACCTGAACCAATACCGGTACAAAAAGAGAAAGAAGACACCGAAGAAGACAAACACAGAGATAGAAAAAAGTTAAAGAAGCACAGAAAAGAAAAAATTAAACGTCTAAGCGAGGACGATCCCACATCAATGGAGTACATTAAAAAGAAGAAGAAAAAACACAAATGCTGCGAAGAGCATTGTAAACACAGACGGCATCATAAAAAACACCACAGAAAACACAAGAAAAGACACCATTCGAGCTGCAAAGAACATTCTAGCTCATCAGGTGATGACCATAGACATAAATCGTCATCAGATTACATAGATTCGAACAAATCTAACGAAGATTCTGTTGATTCTAACGAAAAACTGTCAACTTTAATAGCCTGTGAAAAGTCACCAGAGGAAAAAATGAAGACCGTGATTAAAAAGGCAGTTTTGCAAAAAAGTCTGGTAAAGACTCCGGTGTTGGACTTCAGTACTATCGGAAAGATCACGTTGAAGAAGGAAGAGGAGAAAGATAATTTGAAAGATAGCGGCATAGGTTTATTGGACGAGGAACCATCTACTTCTACGAATGAATTGGTCAAAAAGGTAGGTTATATCAGTTCTGTTAAATTAGTTGAATAAGATAAGTTCCAGTGAAATTGCTTTCTTCATATAGGTTATGAAATAGTAGTCTTCATTAATTAATTTGTATAAAACTTTTAAGTTTTGAGCGTGATTGTCGATAGCGCGTTAACTTTTTTCTATATTAGGATGCATTTTGAGAAATTCATGGTAAAACTATTGAAATCACAAATTGGACTAGGGGGCCGATTAAGAATTACGTAAGACTCCCCGTCTTTGATTTTCTTATTTGGCGATTACGTCAACAGTAATTATTTACTTTTTTACACGTATTAGGTACCCACCCATTGTCTATGCTTGAAAACGAAGCGCATATTCGAAGATTCCTACAAAAAATTCATACGTTTATGTACTATTATTTTTTTGTTATGAATTATATATATGAGTATTTTGTATGCATATTAAGAGCTTTGCTTTTTTCTGACAAGAGAGGGGGGGGGATAAATTGCAGTAAATCTGCTTACGTAATACTTGAAATCAGAACTACATTATCATGCAATATAAAGTAGGTATACTACTATAACCTCCTTTTTCAAACCTGATTCCTATTATTACAGAAGATAAAACGACGCACCATATCCGCGTCATCGGACGGCGGCGGGGGAGTGAGCAAGATGGCGGCGTTTCTGCCTGGAGCCTTATGGCGCTGGCTGGGACCGCCATACAGACGCACTGCGAGACCCCGCCACAGAAAACTTTTCTATAGGGCTATCCAGAGAGGAGAAGAAACGCTGCAAGTGAGTTCATCTCACTTTCGAAATGTTTATTTCTTTGTTCACTGTAGAAATTTAGACTTTAACATCTATATTGTACCTTATTATGATTTCACAAAAATCCAACACTCGACTGCGTATTACAGACATTGAATATATCATGGGTACTCTTAGAAACCACTAAATTTCATAATTCATTGTTCTAACGCGATTTATTACTGCTGTTGACTGGCAATACTTTTTTGCCTTTGATACATAATTTAAAATAAACGAACACATTTTAAAGTATATTTTTTATTGATGGTTACTTAATTGCACTTTGTTACGTAACGACGGAAACCTCAAATGACGTCACATTTACAGTTTAAGTACCAGAAATTGTTGAAGTTGATAATTTCCAACAATAACATCAGTATTGAGCATGTGACGTCATCATTACATAACAAATATATTATAAATATATTCTGTGATAAAGAATAAAATTTCATACATTTATTTTAGTGAAAGGTCAATTGTAATATGCATACCTAATGATATTTCCTCATTACAGGTGGGTGAATCGGCAGTCTTTCTATCCACGGGTCGAGCAGACAGACCGTACATAGGTCGTATAGTGGCTCTTTGGCAGGCGAGGGGAGCTATGGCGGTACGCGTGCATTGGTTCTACCACCCAGAGGAAACTGCTGCCTGCACGCCGCTATTATTACCGGTTAGTATAATGAATCCGAGATATTTTGTTTCTTTGAAATCTTACCTGTTAAACTACGCAAATTGTTCGAAGGCTAAAGATTGTAAATTGTATTTCTTTGCCACTCATGATGTCCTAGTACCAGCGGTAATGTAATGATGTAACATTTGTGTATGTTATGTGTTGATGACCTAGTTCGTGAGTGGGCGCAACGTAACTTTGGAGGTCGTACTTTCAAACCCGACTGTGCAAAAATTGATTTTCTTTTTTTGATTGTTTTTGAAGTGAAACTTCTTTATCGAGGTTGGAAAAAAATTTAGTGTAACATTTTTTCGTTACGCGTCACATTTTTCGGTTACGCGCCATGTTGCTTTTTGAAGTCAAACTTCTTTATCGGCGTTGGAATGAAACTTCTTTATCGACGTATGGGAGAAATTTTGTAGCAAATCGTCACGTTTTTCAATGATAGTAATAATTCTATTACAATTAATGAAATTCTATAATAATCTTCGTAGTAATAAGGTAAAATGAAATATTTGTATTCATGTCTATGATAATAAAAGCCTTTTGTTAAACTTTATCTAATTTAACGAATTTCTGTAAAGTTGCATATAGTAGATCATTTTTAGAAAAATAAGATCATAAAGAAGTTTCACTTCTGACGTGTGTACACCTAGTACACCCACAATTTATTTTACTTAACTTTTATGCTAATAATTCAACTTAATTGTAATAATTTCATAACAATATAACAAATGTTTTTAGATTTTATTTTACTTAACAATCAATACTTTAGAAGTGAAACTTCTATAGGCGCATGGGGGTAAAATTTTTGCGGAACGTCACGAAGATGTGCAGCGTTTTTTTTCTTTAATGAAGATATGCTAGTGTAATATTGTGGTGCAATTATTCATACTTGAACACCAATTGTGTTTTAACATATAATTTTATTAAGTAACTAAATTACCTTTTTTTTGTTGGTTTTGTATTTTTATAAGGGCCAACACCAAACCAAGACCTTTTTTGCTAAGACCCAGTTGCCTATTTTAGAAAATGTGGACATAAGTTAGCAATTATGATAATAATGAATTTGTTATATTATTTGGTAATTGTTACCATATTAATGGTGGTATTTCTATATACATAACAACAACAAATTTTAGTTCTGGTTTTTATTTAGCCTCATTCATTAACATAGATGGCAAAATTAAATTATGGGATTTGGGAGTTATTAATAACTCAATAATTAATTTACAAATTTCAATTCTGACATGTGTGGTTTGTTAGCACGCACTTTTTTTCAAACTAATTGTTTGCGTTTATTGCAGGGTGGTCTATTCCAGTCCCCGCACACAGATGAGAATGACGTGCAAACAATATCACACAAGTGCGAGGTTCTACCGCTAGCTCAATATAAAGAGCGTTTAGGCGAGGACCCCGCGCGGTACAACACCGTATACGATAACAATGACGTCTATTACCTGGCGGGGCACTACGATCCCACGCAGCAAACTCTTCGCATGGAACCGGATATTCCGTTCGCCACATAACCTGCCTGCGCGCCTGGTACTATAAAAGACGAAATTTGGATAGAGTGCAATTGAACGATCTTAATCGTTTGTATATTTATTTATTAATATAGTTTTCTTCAACAGATAGTGATTTTAATAATCTCGGTGTTAGTGTTTTTATCAGTAGTCGACTTAGCTTTCAAAATCACATACAGGTGTTAAGAGTACAACGTAGATTTTCGAGGCTCAATGTGACTTTTTACGGACGTTTTACGTAGACATGTTAGTTACCCTTGTTACGTTTTGTTGGAATGTTGTTTCAAAGGGCCGAGGGGGCTGAGGGGGCCGGAGGAGGTAGGGCGATGTGATTTATTTTTATACTTGTAACGCTGTAATCTCAGTGTATAGTTAGATGTATATTTCTTGTATATTCTATTAGATTTTCTATGTATACTATTTGTAGTTCTTTTCATATATACGCAATACTGTCACAGCTAGTCCTTATTTCGTTCGAAATTGACCAGATCGTCAAAGATTTGATATTATAATTGGAAATTGATAATCTGCTTGTTATATTCTTGTTTTTACTCTAATTTTTATATTATTTTGGTTGATAATATTATGTTACTCGATGTATACCTTGTCGAAATGGTGCTAGACGCTTGATACTTCATTTATTTTCGTAATTAAGATTGTAAATATACATTGCTAGTGTAAGTTTGTTTCCACGCGACTGGCGCGTTCAGGTCTGCACATTTGAGTTGCCATTTTAACCTAGCGTACTGTTTTATTAGCGATTATTTTACAGGGTAATAACCTTTTTCACCTTTTCCATGAATGTTTGAAGGGACTGAAAAGACAGGGATAGCTAGGTTGAGGTTTAGGGAAGTAGGTAAGGTTTTGTACGAAGTGGCCAAACGTTTATAGAAAATTGGAAAGAGTAGTCTATCTGTAAGTTTTGTCGTATTGCCGGTAAAAGGTTCAAGGAAATTGTAAGTGGTCATGGAAAAACTGACAATTCCACGTTTCTTCACTAACACACAACAGTATTATACTCCTAATTTGTTAAAATTCAAACAAATGGTCTGTAATGATGTTAATTAGAAGTATAATGAAGTTATACTTCTTTTGGCGCGTTAGGGAAAAATGATGAGAGTAAATTTTTACGATACGCGCGTATAAAAAACTGACACCCTGAATATCTAAACGTCGGCAAAACAGTCTGGGCATTTAGTTGGCGCTTGCTCTGTTTTATCGACAAGTTGCATTGTCTGTCATGGTGTAGTGTTTTTCAGAGTCGTGTTTATTTAAACCAAAATAATGATTACTTTACGAGAAAAACCCGTTCCAATGTGATAAACAACATGGTTGCTTAAATAGTGTTTATTGTAAAATATCATGACGTATATATTATATCGTTTCGATTGGAACCATCAAAATGGACAAGAAAAATCCAATTCGAAAACTTCCCTCTAAAGTGCTCGAAGAAAATTATTACGCCAAAGAAGTATGATAACTTCTAACGCGTGTACATAAGTACACACACGTTTTTTATATTGATGCAAAAAATGACGTATACAGATTGTGCCCTTATGACCTTTTATCTGTGGCAATAAAAAATTTCACAATAAAAAGTAGGTAAAATAATAATAGTTTCTTTTCACATCGTTAATTGGGAATAGTTAAATTACCTAGTAATCTGTGTTAAGAAAATGGAATGATAAAGATTATTATAGTTCGCTTATTTTAATCATTTTTAGCAATTTCCATATTATTTTATTTTTATAAAAACATGTACAGAATATTATCTAAGACCATTTTCCTAAAAGGAAAAATCCAGTGAGATGATTTTCTTATTTTTACCTTTGACAGTTTATCTTCCGCCAATTAGTTGTATCCATTCTACGTATTTTTGTTGTAGTTTTAACAATTAGGTTCTATTTAGTTGTAGAGTTAATATTTTATTTTGTAACAAACGATACGAGAAAAATGAAAAGCTGAGATATTTGGAACAAAATTGTGTCTGATATTGAGAATAAACGGTATTTTTATATATTGAGAGTAACGTTATTATTTAAAATGTAAATTTAAGTACAAATTTGTTGAGCGAGTGGTTCTCGGCCCAATACTGTATACTAACAATGATTTTATGAAAGTTAGAGCAGTCTTACTCGATAATCAAATGTTAAGTCTGTTCTAAGTTTTGAATAAATAACCGTAGTGTGTAACAAGTGGGAAGCCATAAAATAATTATTAGATTTAAAGATTTAATTATAATATATCAGCATTGATAATATAAAGATTATAAAGTACGCTTAAATAAAATATTTTTGGCTGAATTCGAGTTTTATTCATCTTTATTTTATACATTTCTGCCCTTACATTTATACTTCGAAACAACTTATAACTAACATTTACTTAAACCATCACTAATAAACTATCAGAAAATACTTATCGAGAAATTTTTTTACCAATATAGCTAGTTTCTTGAGCAACGGTTACCCATATATACAAAAAGACATTTAAAATATAAATAACCAGTCCAAATTATTATTTTTATAAAAGATTTAGCAAAATAATAATTTGAAAGGTTTTAGTTCATAAATAATTTATAATAGGGTCAACAAATAATTTCTTTTTTCCCATTACTTATTATCTCATATGTATCGTCATCTATTATTTTATACACATCCTGTCGATAGCTTTGAATGTTGTGGAGGAAACGAAGTGAGCTTTCTTCACGTATCTTGGTAATTACGGACGGTAGATTATCCGTATCCGCCTCGCATGCAAGAGATGCGTAGTATCGCTCCTGTAACAATTAAAATTCACATTTGACTACAGCTTTGAAGAGATGGATAAACGACAAACAATATTATAATTAATTAGTTGTGTATTCAATAAGCAATATATTATACGTTCTTAATGCAATAAATTGTGCAGAGACAAAAGACCTACTTATAAAATCAAGGTTGTCTTGATAACCCGGTAGCTCTCAGGGCTAAGTACCACTTGTGGAGAATTAAAGCGGCAATTATTATCGATTCTCAAATGCGGTCGCGAGCCATAGCAGGATCGATACTGAAACGATCAAGACGTTGTGCTCGCGCTAGTAAAAGTGTTTTGCAACAAGTTTCTACCAGACCGGACTGACATTTGAGAGGCTCCGTTCGTTCGTGGACTCCTAGTACTTGTAATAATTTTGTGTTTTCTATTTTGACGTAACTCCTGCCAAAAATTTAAAATAAATGATTGTGGTTTGGTGTGTTTTATTTTTATAAGTTTAATTTCTCTATAAGTAAATTTTACTTAAGTATATTTTAATTTCTCCTACATACTCCTCTCCTCTCCTACATTTTTGTACTACTCTAAACAAATTATTTTTATTTATTTGCAAGGATGTTTTAATTTGAGTCTGGTGATAATGCTAATTTCAAATAACGCATGGGTCGTTGAACTGTGAAGTAATAACAGCTGTGGTAGTTTCATTCTACACTAGGTACTATATACAAAATAAGCAATGGGAGGTTTTAATTTTTAAATAACGAACGAATGGTTTTATTGGTCCTATGAGACAAACTGTGTAGGTACATAAATGCACTGTTTCTATGGTAACGTTTACGTAAGAACCTTATAAATGTTTTTAGACTTAATTTAGATTTGTGACTTTAAATTAAATTTTAGTTTTTTGTTTTACTTTCATTACTACATCTTTCTGTAATAGTAATAATGTCCAGTAGTAAAATGCAGTGTTAATCTTGCTTGGTACTTTTTGCACCGCTGACTTGCATGTTCATATCGAAATTTGTTACACATTCAAATAAATTTTACTTTTTTAATGAAAAAATGTGAGTAAAAATGTTTATTGATTGGAGTATTTATATTTATTTTCCTGCATTTTAATCTATTATATAATTAATTATAAAATGACAATATAATTTTGATTTTACTATACAAAAGTATAAAGATAAAGTTTATCCTATTGTACTTTCGATCATTTTTATTGTAAAATTATTTTAGGCCCGCCGTTTTGAAGAGTGATGCTTGATAACTTTGTCATTATAATATTAACAAATAAGAGTTTCTGAATTTATAACGTACCACCAAACAAACTCTTCAGCGTTATAATGTTAACTGTTAAAAGGAATGAAACATAATTCTAGTATTCTACATTTTTCTTATTGACATGTAATAAACATGGATTACAAATTATAATTTCACGATTAAAATTATAGATGTTTATGTTAAAATGTTACTTTTTCTATTAATAAACGTTCGTTTAAAAAGATTTTCTTTAATTATTAATGCATACATTATTTATATGTTATTTTTACTCCGCCCGTATAGTTTGATTTAATTACATTTTAATGTATTACATACAAAATTCTTATCGTCGATTAATATATAAACGTCATTGCGATAGTACGCAAGGTTGTCGAGGAACTTCTGGCTGCTGTCGTTATGTATGGCTGTGAACACCTCCGGAAGGGACTCACACCCGCTCTCCATTGATAACGATACGTAGTAATCGGCCTATTAATACATCAATTATATTTAGTGAAAATTAGCAAATACTGAAAAATTTCATGCACTATTATGAACTGTGCTAAATCTTGTAATAAACTATAGAGTGAGTTTAAATATGAAAAATATCAGTTTGACAGCATTCATATATTCACTCTGAGAGAGTTCACTTCTTATCATATACTTTTTGATGGTATATTTGAATTACATATTAAATAAATAGGCGAATAACTTAACCTAGAATTGGTAAGTTAAATTATTTTTACCAGGCAAACAAAGTTTAACATTTTTACCATATAATTATTTTTAATAGTTTGAATAAATAGTTTCTATTCAAAATATAATAATAATTATTTCCATTTGTCAGATCGTTCAATTTTACTCCTACCTTATTATTAATTATTACTATTATATTTTTCTAGTTTAGTAAGGACTACTTCTATGGGAAATAAGAAAGAGTGTGTGTGCTTTCTGACGTGTACAGTCTAGAATTTTAAATAGGTAACTTGACATGCTGGGTTGGGAGCGACAAAAAACAATTTTAATAATGTTTTAGCAATCACAACTGATATTTTGGAGCCACAGAGCCACTGTTATTGAATATCTACACGCACGGCCTCGCGTAAGTTCTACTACTTATACCTAAGTGGTTTCTAACTTCCGTGACAAGATTATCGATTCTCAACAATTTTCTAGATAGCTGTAAAGGGAAATAAATAACATTTCCGTTTTATTAATATCCAATTGAAGCAATTGAAGGCTATTAGTATAGGTCTTAAGGTCGTCTGATACGTTGCGTATCGAGGAGTATAAATTATAAGGGGCATTTATCAAGAATACATAAGTACACCTATATACAATACTTAACCGGGAATTTTGATACACCCTACTAGAAAAATAAACTTTAAAAGGATAAACAAAGAATTTCCGGGAGGCGAATATCTGATCGCTCGGCAAATTTGCTCGCAACCGATATTTTCCCCGTATAATTTTTCATTTAAAAACCAGTTGTCACCTTAATTAATAACTGACATAGGAAACATATTGATTTTAACTACTGCTATTAAATGAGACAAAATATAATATATGAAAAAGGCAACTATGCAATAAATATGTTTCGCATTGAATTTCGATTCTGTAATGTTTAGAAAAATATTTTAGTTATTATAAGTTCTATAACGATTACAATGTTATCATAATATCTCATTAATAAAAAAAAATAAAAGAAGTGAAGGTAAGGTAAGCATAATGATAAACAATTAAGTATGGATGTAAATTAAATTAATTATTACCTGATCAGGTCCCATCATATGCGCCTGCCGTTTAGTGTATCCTCGAGCTGCTCGTTCCAGCTTTTCTTCTTCCCAATGTTGTATCATCTCTTTAGAAGAAGGAAGTTTGAAGACCCCCGTCATTGACCTCACATAATAACGAACCTGTAAAATATGTTATAGTCAGGGAAACGTATTATTTTATATCGCATTAATTATTAATTATTTCAGATTTTATGTAAATTATTTATATATATATGTATATATAGTATGTAGTAAGAATGTTTATTTCTCTATTAGAAAGAAGGCTTCATTTTGGTTTTGAATTCTACTAGGGAGTTAGCGGGTCGAAGAGCACATCCTATTATTGAATTTCCGGCAGGCGTCACAATAAATTTACGTTCGATTTTGAAAAAAATGCGACTTGCTTGACAAATGCCATACATAATTATCAGATAATTCATACACGTGGTGGTGGTAATATATCAATAATACGGCTGCATATTCAAATTATTGTATGTTAGTACGAAATCAAGTCTCACCTGCAAGTCAAACATAGAGAAGGCACAAACATAGTATGGTACTCCAATGAAGCACATTGTAGGGTGGTGTATGTTTACGAGATGCTTATAAAGTGGCTCCACACAGTTGTCCTCCACTACTATGTCGCATGATTCGTGTAGGAACGGAAAATTGTATAGGTAACCTACAAACATTAATATAATTTTTACCACGATTTGGTAAATATATTACACAAATATATAATAATCTATTATATAAAATTCTCTGTTCGTTCCCATACTCGTCCGAAATGGCTCTTATGAATTTTTTTAAGCATATTCAGTAAGTCTCAGAATCGCACAACATCTATTTTTCATCCCCCTAAATGTTAAGGGTGGTCCCACCCCTAAATATTTATGTTTAGACAAAACTTTTTGTTTTTACTTTTTTATGATACAGCTTACAAAAATACATACATCCCTTTTCTATATCCTATTTTTTATTTGTTAGCACTTATAACTTGAACTCTGAGAAAAATCACAGAAAAACCTAAAAAGTTTCATTCCGGAAAATCGAACAGTCTCTGGGGTAGCAAAATGTTCCATGTTGGTATGTACTAAATAGGTAGACTAGGCATTAAGGAGAAACAAAGTTCGCGGGGGCAGCTAGTTTTATATGTTTTATTTGAAAAATTAACGTTTTCAAAATATATTATACGCAAGTGATTAACAGGCAAGGATAAACATACAAGAGTTGGTGGTTACTAATTTATTAAATTTATTTTAATAATTTGGGTTCTGTCTTATAAAATACTTACCAGTACTCAAGAAAACCACATCAACTTCATCTTCAGTGCCATCTGCAAACGTGGCTTTCTTTCCATCCAGTTTCACAACATCTGGTTTTAGTACCAGGTTATCAGGAAATTCGCTTTTAGGCTCTTCTTTTAAATGGTGACTGAGGATGACTTTTGTGGTCACCCTCGTGATTTCAAAAGCTATGTCCATGCCTGATGGACCAGCTCCAATGACGAGGACCCGCTTGCCCGTAAAAATTTCAGGTACTCTGTAGTCGTGGCTGTGCATTACATCACCTGTAAATTATTATTTCCTAGTAGTTCACATTGTGCAAGAGTGAAAACATGACGAAAAGAGCAGAGCGGATAAATATGTCGCAGCCAACTAGCTTAATTAGCCGTTCAATGAACAGCCTAGTAGTATCTTTACTAAACAGCGCCGTTCAACTAGTGGCCTAAATGATATTCAGCCATTTGATCACACAGCTAGGCTTACTTGAATCGATGACATTACTTGCCTATCCTGTTCATTTCAATTTAGTTCCACTTTCTACTCCAAATTGTCAAACAACAAATTTGATGATGATTTTCTAAGTTTAATGAAATATAGTATGGAAGAGTGTAGTGACACTAAGAGTAAGCGTAAGAACATTTTGCAACATATATATCAGTTATATTTTAAATATATTAAATAAAGAATTTCTTATTCAGATTTTTTATTTTTGTCTTGTTTGAATGGCCTAAGCATTAGCCTGTCAGTTTATTAAATGTTAACCACTAGTTAAACGGCGCTGTTTAGTAAAGAGGCTAGGCTTTTGATTGAACGGGTAATTAAGCTGCGACATATATAATACATAAATACTATTTTTATTACATATAATACATATTATTTTTAAGTAAATATGTAATAATAACAAAACTAGTGAAGTGAAGTAAACAAAATACTATTTTATATATCAAGGTTGTGTGTTTTGAAATCTTGCATCGTACGTCACTCGAAATTAAAACATCGCTACCGAGGCGGATACTTCTTTTTATATAACCTTTATGATAAAGTAAGTGCAAAGTACATACATATTTGTAAGTAACAAAACAGGCTTTAGAACGCATTTTATTAGCGTCCGTTAAAACATTCTCTATCGCAATTTATAAGTATTATCCTAAATCCGAATTTGAACAAAAAGTAAGAAAAAAAGAGAATGTGTTTCGTGTGTTTTTTTTACAAAACTTTTACAAAAATCTTTTTTAAATTTCGTCTACGCGCGTATTTTTTTGACAGCCAGTAACGTTTTCACACAATGTTTGTGATCAATCTCTTTGGTGATAGAAACATTGACTCGAATCCACATTCCAAATTCAAATCAGTTTCAATCCCTTGGAAACACCATGTAGCAAGCATTCTAGCATTTTAATTCACCAATTTCGATTAATGTCTTTCGATATTCACCTTCGAACTTCTTCAACCCTGGTATATTAGGTATGAACGGAGTATTATAGTGTCCGTTACACACAAAGACGTAATCATACTCGTTAGTCACAGACACACCGGTGCCCAAATCTTTGTATGTGACGTCCCACAACTCATTCTTGGGTCCGGCCTTAGGTATAATTAGTTGCACATGCTGCCTGAACTGTAACAAAGAGAATAGATTTTTAATTATTTTGGCAATATTATTAAAATTGGTTAGAAAAATGTTAAAAATTGAACAGGCGCTATGACGGTAGCTACAAAGAAAACGGATTAACTATATTTACGCCTTAAGCTAATATTTTCGATTCTTATCATATCTATCTTATTTGATAACAGCTTAACACCTTGAGGTTCGATGTTATTTTATTTTGTTTAGTTCAAGATCTATAATCACTTAAGAAATTTTATTTTACGTTTTGGTAAGTTATTTTTTTATAATTTCCATATAACATATGTTCAACAGAGCAGTCTCTGCCTAGTAGCTTCAGCGTGCGACTCTAATCCCTGAGGTCGTAGGTTCGATCCCCGGTTGTGCGCCAATGTTCTATGTGCACATTCAACACTCGCTCGTAAATACGTTCCATTGCTTTAATATGTATCATATTTTAGTTTTGAAGACATTTTAATGTTGACTTACTTTAATGTGTTTAGTAACCCCATTCCTGTCAGCATACAGCTGGAGAAAGGCTAGCATATCTTTTGCGGGCAGATAGGATTTCTCACTCTCCGGTACAGGAAAGTCTGGGAAGCCCATTATTTCTTTAGGTAGATTCGTTCTGTAATCAGTTTTATATAATGAGTAAATTTATTATCTTTAAAGGACTGGCTTATGAACACACCTTTAACGCAGTGTTGGAGATGCTTGTAAGACCTAAATCCTAATACTCACGTATCATTCATTTACTCACTCACTTACTAACATGCACCCTTAAAAAATCAATAACTAAAATAAATTAAATAAATGATGTAATAAAATTATATATCTATATATTTTAAGGAATTTATAATTAAGTTTGTCATGGAAGAGCTGGGAACCCGGACACAGGTAGTTTTATACTTAAAAGGGTTCCCAAATCTTACACATTGTAGTGCATATTTACTTATAGTTAATAAACACATTTTTTTCAATAATTAGTGTGTAATAATTAAATTTTTAGGATTAAATGTAAGAATATTTTCAACTATTTTGTAGGTACTTTACGACTCGAGTAGCCTATTATTTCTAGTGACTGATATTATACCTACGATAACACGCAAGAACTGGTTCAACATGAATATGTCTAGATGAATGTTCTATAGTCGTTATGATACCCTGTGACCCGGTACCATGTCGTAAGCAGACATAAACAGCTGTTTACAGCTTTATTTATCAATACCTAAATAAACAGTTAAAATTGTCAATAAAAAATATAAAAACGCAATTAAGGATATGAAAATTAAATAATTCTGCGAATAACAACAAAAACAACACGTGAAATCGCTTACTTAGTTAAGAGTACTCACACAACACACAGTCTTATCGGCTTGATTTTGTTAGCGAAAAGCTACTGTTCAGGGGCCTCATAGCCTAGTGGTCTTATTAAGTGGCAGCTAGGTGAGGGGTACCGGGTTCGATTCCCGGTTCGAGGGCAAGTTTTAATTTAATTAAAATTTAGTTCTTTATTTTAGTTATCGGCCTTTGGGAGGGTTGTGGGGTACCGGGCGAGTGCTTAAACCGTACATGGAGGACACGGACGAATTTCTAAAGACAAGCACGAATTATAAAAAATCCTATACTTGACGCTGGCTAATGCACAAATCGTGCCAGAGCCATTAAAAAAAAAGCTACAGTTCCGTCATTTATAATACCTAACAGAGACCTATTTACCTCAAACTCTTATACATGCTGGTATGTATGGGCAGACCGAAGTCGTCATATCCCACGTTCTCGGTGTACACCCACGTGCCTCCTAGTGCTCCAGATTGCTCTAACACGTCAACTTGGATGACACCCGGAGTTACCAGGAGATGACGAGCGGCGCAGAGACCTGCCGCACCGGCTCCCACTACGCATACGCGGGTCATACTGAAAAAAATACATACATACTATTAATATGCCATAACTTAGCGGTGTTAGATAATTAGGATTAAATACGTTTGAATACGAAAATGTAGGTAGACTAGAAAGTGCCTAGCGCCTGCAGTCTTAGTAGATTACTAATTTTATTTTTTACGAGATAATATTAAAATTAAAGACCAAAATGATATAATTATAAGCTGACATTCGTTTTCCTCTCAATGTTATGACTTTAACAAAAAACTGTCGCGATTAGGAATAAAAGTCAATGTACTATTACATAGCTAAGATATTGTTATCGGAAAGTTCAAATATTCAATTCACACAGTTCAAACCTTAAAACTACTGTTACTAAGATAACTTAAACCCTTAATACAAAATCTCAGAGGCATAAGGAAACTCGTAATAAATTCACGACGAACAGATATATTTAAGACTAGCTTTTCGCCTTAACTTTGTTACTAACTCAAACTTACACGAATACATCGAAAGAGTTGTAAAACTGGTACGTACTTATATTTTAACACACAGGCACTAAACTTAAATAACAAATCTTGAGTTCCTTAGCAACGATTTCTTTGGTATTGCGATAACGAAACTTGTTACAATAATATACTACAAATTATGGCTATGAAATGTTAATAATATTTTAATAGAATATACCTAAAAGAATAAACGAACCGCGTTTTGTTTTCAAAATATCTACAAGTGGTAGATTTCTGTGGAAATGATGTTCTATTAGTCTCTGGTTTCCACTGGTAAGTAATCCCTAAAATTAGATTTTGCTTAGGTAAGTCACGTGTCTATTAATCAATGGTTTCGCGATTGCAAAGGGCAAGAGTTTAATTGAAAGTTTTAATAGCTATATAAAGTAGTATAAAGCGACTACTTGCTTTGTTTTCTAAAGAATATTCGAGGAATAAATTAATTTAAATGCTTAAGATACAAATACAGTTTGTAAATAACTTTCTTCTTTTAGTAATTTCCTTGTACTGAACTTTTAATTATTTCTGATGAATTAAAAATGTTATATATAATTTCGACAATTACGCTCACCTTACATTTTCTAACTAACCAATATTATCAAAGAACCGATGATATAATTGTTAAAAAATATAAAGATCAATGATCTTTATTAATTATATAATATAAGAAATAAGAGAAATAAATCGTATTTATTTGCCGTTTTCGTTTTGTTTAGTATATATTTTTTTTTTTAAGACAATTCACACCAATTGACCTAGTCCCATGCTAAGCTGGTGAAGCTTGTGTTATGGGTACTAAGCAACGGATATACATACATATTATATATAGATAGACATATAAATACATATTTAAACACCCAAGACCTAAGCACAACACCAAATGCTCATCACATCGATGTTCGTCTCAGCCGGGGATCGAACCCGGGACCCATGGATTCGCAGTCAGGGGTACTAACCACTAGACCAATAAGTCGTTTGTAAAATGGATTTACATATTAATTATTATGTCAACAAAATAAATACCAGAAATAGGAAGAGGAAAAGTGTTTACTTCTAAGAATTTAATGGAGATCTATCCATTTTCCGACCTATATTTGGCATTTGCAATTGACGTAAGGCCGTAAACAATTTATAAGTAGATATAAACTATGTATATATTAATAAGAAAAAATTACATTAACATACATGGAGAAAGTTTTTTTACAGTAATAAATCCAACATATAAAATAAGGACCAATCACAGACTACACGAAAATAAAATATGATAAAAATAATTAAAAATTTACAGCAAATTGAGTTCTAGCTAATTATCTATGGTTGAATCATTTTTGTTAGAACTGATCAATGAAACCTTTAACCTGAATAAAGGAATCATTCCTATTGCCGCGTCCGCTAATAAACAATAAGCAAAGGATTGCATAATATATAAGTATATATATATGGATTTTGATAGTTAATCGATATCGTCATAGCAGAAAAGCCTGTAAGATATTTCATGACTTTTTGTGGAAATTAATGTTATTATAAAATTTTAATTACCTAATATTTTAAATTGCCGAGACGAGATTTATTTAATAAAATAAACTAATAATTCTGTGTATTAAATTTAACACGTAATTAAAAATACCCTTTATAAATTAAGCGATAATATATAAAAATGTAAATCCTATTCATATTCCAAAAGTGCAGGAGTACCTACCTTAAACAAATTATAATTAAAATGAAATCACAAACTAAATCACTGCACTACACTGATTGACAAGCTCTCGAGTCGACTATCAGAAGCTGAATGGCGCGAACAATGATCACTCAAGAATTTATGCACCCAATAATGCTATCATGAACTTTTTCACTATTTACTATCGTAATTAAGAGGTATTGTAATTGTGATATATACATTTTCTTTCATAAATTATAAAGCGTGTAAATACAATATATTTATTAGTAATATTAAAACAGCCACTTTTTAATTAATACATTCGGATAATAAAACCGCGTTCAACAGCTTTCCGCGCTTTACAGCACAGAACATCGAGATTTTCTATCGGATAATCAGATCGGCCTACCCAAATGGTCTTTGGACTTGACAGGTCCACTCAATCTGTGTGGTTCATTCCTCAAAAGACCATTTCAGACTGCAATCTACATGGTCTTCACATAATCTTGTTATGTCTGGACTTTAAAAGAGACTGTGACCTCTGAGTTTGTTTCGGCGTTTCTTCTCAGAGTTGTCAGATAGGAAATGTCGATCTCATCTAGTTTTAAAACAAATATGTTTGACGTGTAAAAGTGTTTGTAAAAACCTACTTACAGAAATAAATCATTTATCATTTATTTATTTCTTTAGTTTTTTTATTTAATAAAACACTATTTTGACCGGATTGAAGTTATGTATTATTATAAATTTACAACTATTTAACAAAATTTTAAATTTATCCGACGTTTCGCGTGCTTTACAGCGTGCGTGGTCACGGTGACATAACTTCAATCCGGTCAAAATAGTGTTTTATTAAATGAATAAAAGTTATGTTAATCAAAGACAATATTAGTTTTTTTATCCAGACAGACGCTTGGACACTATCCGCCTGTCCAGAAGATGCCTATTTATACGCCGCTTAAATGAATCCATTTTATACTGTCTAGGGAAGATGACAGGGGCAAGACGTTCTACTCTTTTGCCGTTTTTACAAAAAACGACGAACCAAACTCCAGCAAGATTTTCCTAAATAAGTTTACATTTCTAACTTCATAGATGTGAAGTTATTCCCCCATATTTCTAAAAACTAAATCACTTTTGTTGCATTCTTTTGTTTCTTTCAGTAAACTTTTTGTTTAAGCGAAAAAGAGACAGTACTTTAATTAAAACGGTGCAAATCAGAGATAAAAAAATTCTTATCAATTTTTCGTGAAGTGCATCTCACTGGCTAACCTCTTTGCCAAATATTATACATTATCACCTTATAAATGCATGGGCCAGAAATAATGAATGAGGCGAGAGTGTTTGTGTTCACGTGGAAATTATCAAAAGACGATTATTACTATCTAAATGGGATACAAAATACTAATTAACGACAGCAAACTCTTGGGTTATATTTGTAATAATATAAATTATAAATTTGAAAGAAACTTTATCCATTTTTGGACTCATTTTGGGTTAGAGATATACTTGAAGTTTAGAGATATAGTTGAAAGCGTATTAGCGATATTTTTAAGTATACTGCTGTCTAGTTATTGTAATTTTCCGAATACCTTGTGGAATAATTTATTTGTTGTGAAGTCTTCATTGGTCAGAGGCCTTTCAAGGGTGTGTCGATAATGAAAATGATTAAACTGTTATTATTGAGCGCTTGTTCTAAAATTGATTTCCAATTTCTCTCACTACTACTTACATTGTAAAAATTCCTGATTATGTAATACCAATATCTAGTGTCATTGGGCCAATATTTATTTACAAAAGATAAGTTTACAACTTTCTGATAATATAATATAATTGTGTTACAGTTTATAAAATACAATTTGACGCCTATTATCCAAATGTTTTCAGAAAAAAATTCTAACAGAAAATCTAATAGACATTTTATCGAGTTACTGGGGAATTTGTTGGTGTGGAAATAAATCTGTAGTTTTGAACTGCAGTATTCTTCACTATATTAATTATCTACTCTTGTCTGTAAATTGATTGATTTACAATAGCGACAAATTTATTTTATAATATGTAACCCTGAAGGAGAGGTCGGAATAGGATAAGTTTAGTGAAAGACTTATTAAGGAAACAGCGTTAAAATCTTTTATTCAAAAACATATACTTACAAGCGTAATATCGTCAGGTATATCCAGAGGTTTTAAAACGCTGGCAACACAGAGCCATCTGCCCGTTTTCCCCCTGTTATATAAAAAAAATGTCTAGTTTTAATATGATTTTGTATATATTGCTTACTCCATTGGGATTTATTTCATTATAATGTCATAGAATAGTGACGGATCTGACATATAGAAAACTTTACAGGGCTTTACTTTAAATAATATAATCATGTTAGTATTTTGTCATAACTTTTTAATTCATATTCTGTTATTATGAAAATTGGCATACAAGCAAACAAAAGGGTTTGTTCTTAAACAAAATATAAAAATAATAACATTAAATTACACAGTTTTCTAGAAAGATGCTTCTATGAGCGTCTATTAAATCCGTCACTTTACGTACGTATGTTATTAATTTGAAATTTAATCAATGTAGTATCCAAATATGATAAAAAGTGGATTTTGGATGTTTCAAATCCGACTTTGTTCTACGATCATGACGATATATATATAATATAATAATCATACTTCATAGGTTTCCGTACAAAATGGCAACAATGTTTTTAGTACAAAGTTCAAACTTTTGTTTGAATTTTCTTTTAACCTTCATCTATCGTGATGTTTTTATAAAACTGCGGTCGCTGACTCGGCATTCGTTTCAAGTTCCCAAAGCACGTGATAGTGCAAGCGCGTTAGAAATTGCATCATTACTGCTATAAATG